AAAAGTTAATTGATATTTTATATAAATTCAAAACAACATATGTAATAAACCGTGGGAAAATTTACTGTGGCGTTTCCAAAAGGATAAATCGATTTTAATTAAGTAAATCTCTCATCTACTAATAAAAGTTGTAGAGAGAATTCTGGTTATAATGGCGGTTGAAACATTAAAATCGAAAAGTGGATTGCGAGATATAAGCATTTTTGTCTTCGCAGCTATATGTAATGGCGAATTTATAAAATTAAGCTAAAATTCGGTCACCAAAGCAGAGTATTTGGTCTCCGATTTTAAATTATAGTTACCAAATTACATATTAATAATGTTAAACTCCGAAAAAATATTTTTGAATTTCTGATCTTGATTGATAACACGTCTAACCTATCTTTCCCACGTACTAACCCATCCTCCACTTTTGACGTATCTTATTAAATAGAGCTAGTATCCTTTGAATATCCATCACAGTTATTTAATGAATATTCGCGTATTTTAGTCATTCGCGAATAATAATGACTATATGGATATTCATGGAGAATTCACGAATATTTAGATATTCATAGCGATAGATAATTTGCGGATATTCATAGAGAAAAATATTCGCACAAAAATATTCGCACGGAAGACTCACACAGATATTTGCACGGATAACACAGGAAATTCTTAAATAATTCACGATTGTTCACGAATTTCGTGTAACAGAATATTCACATACTTATAATTGAATATCCATTTTATTTGTGAATATTCACGGCTTTATTATTAAACTTAAAAATTTATAATAATGACGCATTTTCACCCGGGGATAGTAGTTATTTTGATCAAAAATCATTATTGTTTACTTAGTGGGCAAAATTTTTCAAATTTTGGAGTATTTCATAAATTCGCTCTACAACTTTTATTAGAAGTGAAAGAGAAGTTCACTTAGTATAAAATCGATTTGTTTTTTTGGGAATGCAAAAAATACATAGTAAACATATTTTCACTGGTTCCCACGCGGATTAGTGTTATATCATGTAACTAAATTTGTCGATTAGCCAATTAAACCAAAGAAATAAACAGTTAATTATTAAATCGATTAGTTGTCTTAAATTTTTCCAAGTCGATTAATTGTTTTATATTTTTCTAAATCGATTAGTTGGAAAGTTGTCAACTAGTGATCACTAACGTGGATTACGAATGAATCTTGGTTAAATAATATCTTGCAAATCATTGATTAGAATTGCATCATTCTGGTACTGTCCAACTCTTATCGATGAGACGTCAAATTAGACACTGCGTCAAATTAGGTACGCACGTACGTACGTATCGGTATATTTTTTTGAAATAAATTAAAAATTTAGTAATTTTTTTGTATAAATTTAGATATATAAAATTTATTGTGTCAACTTATTTGATTTATAGGTAACGGCTAATTTTAAGACAATTATAAATATATACGGTATAATTAACTATATATCTATATACAATACGTATATTTTTTTTTAGATCAAAAATCTGACTTATTTAAATTATGAAATTGGCTAAAATGATTGATTTTACTAAGCCGATAGCTTATAGGTGCGTACGTAATAATAAATCGTAAGTTTATTGATTAAATTTTTAAAATTGGTTTAGTACCCGAAACTTAGCCGTCACGCAAAAACTTATTTCAATGAAATTAGACGGCCTGTCACACAATAACTTATTCCAATGCAATTAGATGAGCCGTCGGAATTCAATAAAAAGATATAGTCTTATTTTGATATTTATTTTTGATTTAGGCAGACATTTAAAAAATTGTAGATCTTTATCTTTTTATGTTGAACAACGCCCATATACGTACGTACCATCTCAATGAGAATTCACTAATAATTATGATATTTAGCTTTATGGTACGAGTATATTGAATTTTAAATTATACGAAATTAATCTTATTAAATGGAAATTTTCGGAGGGAGAATGAATTTGTGGACTTCGTGGTTGGTTGAGTGCGTAGCGGAGATAATTTCGGGGTGGCTTTTTCTTTTTCTTTTGAGACCTTGCATGAACTTTTGCAGGTACAAAATTTTCGCCGAGGTTAGGTTTAGAAGGTTACAGTTATACGTACGTACGTAAGTACTATACGTACGCACACATAACAGATAAGTAAATTCATAATGATAAATATTGAGATTGTTTGCATATGAATGTCAATTACAAGTAAAATCCAGTAGGGAGTCAAAAAAATTTTAAGTTCCGTGTGACAAACATTAGATAAGGTTTTATACAACAGACTATTATTAATAACAAAAAAATCCCCAATTAATGAGTAAGTAATGAGTAAGTAATGAGTAAGGGAGCTGCAGAATGGTTTCTGGAATGTATACTTAGAACAATTATGCATCATGCAATCGGCTTCATCAAACTAGTTTGAAATGGAGTAGGGATGTTATCGGCTCGACCCGACTTGCATATTAATCGATAAAACCTAATAAGCCGGTAACAGCCCTAACGGTGTGTATCTTCCTTTTTGGCCGTAGGTTACGTTACTTAATGTTCAGGCGGGTAGTTTATGTGTAATATATATAATTCACTATATATAGTTTATTTTTATTTATGTATATATATATATATTAAGTTAAATAAGATTATCTAGTAACGTTTTCAATGAAGGTTCTATCAAATTATTCGGTTTCTTCACATAAATGTAATCGCAAATAGGGCAATCATTCTGCCGATATAGGGGTTGGAACCTCCTGATCGAGTCGATCCATTCTGATTACGGAGTTCATTTGTTCCCGTAATAAAACGAATGTTTAATGAATTAAATCAGAAAAAATGTTAGAGTTTCAAAAAAAAATTCTCATACTGTTTTACAAAACATTTCATCATCATAATGGTCGCATTATTCGTTTATATTGTTCTATGATTAATAACGATAACAAAATCCAATGTGACATTTATACAAAATCACATTTATAGTTTAACATGTGGAATGTTCTTAACAATATCTTAATAAAGTACGTATTCTTAAAAGATTTAACAATAATAATCACGCGATTCTAAATCACGTATCGTATATAATCCCTACATCGTACCGCTGTGCAGTAGGGAATTCCCTTTAATTTTACGATTTTTTATTCTCATCCGTAAAAAATGGTCAGCGAACAAAGCGGTGTTCTTTCAGGGAATAATCCCATGAGTGTTAACAAAACTGACCCTCTAACACTCGCTATAGTACAGGTAAAAAAAAAAAGGCGTCCCAAATTTGCTTCACGGGATAAAACGGAATTCTTCCGGCGAATTCACGCTTTGTTTACATTTAAGTTCGCGGGAAGTTGGTGATAATATAAAGATATAAAAAAAAAAAAAAAAAAACCCAAAATTTATTAACTTTTTATATCCAACAATATATACATTCTCATAATAGGTCGTTATAATAGTAGTTTTTACTCGTCTTCTTCATCTTGGTCTTAAACATATTCGTCAACCACGAGTCATATCTGAAGTGATAGGTGGAATTATCCTTGGCCCTTCTGTATTGGGCCGTATTCCAGGATACTTACACAATGTATTTCACGAGGACTCTATTACTTACCTCAACCTTCTGGCTAATTTGGGCCTAGTCCTATATTTATTCTTAGTTGGTTTAGAATTGAATCCAAGGATGATAAAAAATAATTTAAGATCCGTTGCTTTTGTCTCTGCGTCTGGTATCATATTGCCTTTTGCCTTGGGTGTAGGCGTCGCATATGGCCTGTATGATGCAACGGGTAATCAGCAAGTTGATGGTCATGATGTGCCGTTTACTAGTTTTGTACTGTTCATCTGCGTTGCCATGGCTATTACGGTAAAAAAATTCGTTTACATAATTACCTAAAACGCGTGCGTATCTCCGTAGAGACATCAACATGCTTGCTAAATTACAGGCCTTCCCGGTCCTTGCGCGTATATTATCGGAGCTGAAACTTATGAGAACTCCCGTGGGTAATTGTGCGCTAACCTCTGCTGTTGGTGACGATATTACCGCTTGGATTCTGCTTGCATTAGTTATTGCAATAATTAATGCCTCAAACTATCTAACGGCTCTTTATTCTTTCTTGCTCTGCGCTGGCTGGACCTTAATTGTTGGTTTTATTGTTCGTCCGATCTTATTAAGAATTATTATTGCAACTAATTCAAATCAAACTTCTCCATCAACATTAATGGTTGCTGTTACTTTATCGATCGTTTTAATATCTGCTTTTATTACAAATATCATTGGTGTTCATTACATTTTTGGAGGTTTCATTATTGGGGTAATCCTTCCTCATGAAGGAGGTTTCGCGGTGGGAATTACTGAAAAAATTGAAGATCTGATTAGTGTCCTGTTCATACCTATAGTAAGTATTATCTATTTTTTAAAAAAAAAATCGTAAAGTTTTACTTATTTCCGTATATCTTGTATATTTATGTCACATGATCGGATTTCTTTAATCCAATTACTAAAATATATGTTTATCTAATTTTTTTAAAGTATTTTACACTATCCGGATTGAAAACTAACATTGGTGACCTGGGTGCTGCAGGATGGGGTTGGGTGTTCGTGGTCATCATCGTTGCTATGTTTGGCAAAATTTTTGGCTGTACTATTGCTGCCAAAATTTCTGGATTAAATTTCAGAGAAGCTTTAACGGTTGGAGTTTTTATGAGTTGTAAAGGGTAATTATTAATCTAATATTTAATAACACTAATAAATAATCTAATATTTAATAACACTAATAAATAATCTAATATTTAATAACACTAATACTGATAATGTGTGAATTCCTTATATATAATATAGTCTTGTAGAATTAATTATTCTCAATGTTGGTTATGACGCAAAAATTATAAATGTTAAGGTTTTCTCAATCATGGTTATCATGTAAGTGCTATTATTTTGTAAATATACACGTTTAATAAAATATATAACTATTCGTGTTGGTTTATGCAGGGCTCTCGTAACGACATTCGTCACAACTCCACTTGCTACTTATTTGTATCCTATTCAATATCAAAGGAAAATGGAACGCAAACGCGCTAAAAAAGATCTTGAATCAGCTGCGGATTCACCACTTTCAAAACATCTCAGATTGTTGGTCGTATTGAGCAAAGTTGAAAATCTACCAGCCATGATAACTTTTGTACAACTTTTACAACCTAACAATGAGTCTCCCAAATCCGCTTTACAAATTTCAGATGAAAATTCTGAGCTAGATACTACTAAAGTTATTAAACCTATGAATGTTCATGTTTTACGTTTCGTCGAGCTTACGCAACGTATGTCGGCGGTTATGAAGTTTAATGAAATTTCGGAAACTATTTTACATGATCCGATCATGAATATGTTTTCTGCTCTTAGTCAAGTTAGTTCGGTAAAGGTCGATGCAAAATTATCTGTTGCTGCTCAAAAGGAATTTTGTCAGGAAATTATTGATAAGGTACAGGATGCTGACATTAATCTAGTAATAATTCCATGGAGTGGTGCCGGTGAAATAGTTGACACGCCAATTGAAAATAAAGATCATGCACCGCGCGAGAAAAAAAGCACAAGTCCACAGGTTGCAGGTTTTGTTCAGGACGTTTTTAATGCGGCAACAGTTTATGCAAACGTAGGAGTGTTTGTGGATCGTGGCTTTGGTAGCACTGACAACACACGTGCACTTCCTAATCCTAGTGGTTATCTTAATATTTTTATACCTTTCTTTGGTGGTGCTGATGATCGTGAGGCACTCACTTTCGCTTTTAGATTACTTGAATATCCAAATGTCAATGTAACTGTAGTGAGAGTAATAAAATCTGAAAAACCTACCGACAACGATGTCACTTTATTAAAATCTGATGTTCAATCCGAGACTAGCAATGTAGACGACGAAAAAGATCGACCTCCACTTAATCGACAAATTTCAACTATAACTATTAGCGAAGCTGTAGCAAATAAGGAAAATGAAGAGGATGAATCATTTTTAGAAACGCATTTAAAATCGAAATCTGGATATCCTGCACAAAATGCACGTATAAGTTACCAAGAAGTTTCTTCTTATACACCAATACAAACTGCTGTTGAACGTGCCAAAGAAGTTGTCAACAGAAAAGATTTAGTTGTTGTAGGGCGTAGTCGTCATTCGCATGTGAATGAACGTCATCACCATTATGAATTTGGGGAATTAATTAAAAATTTAGGAAATTATGGCAACGATACACATAAATCTTTAGGTTATGTTTCCGAAGCATTTTTAGTTGGAGGTGTTATGGCAAGTCTTTTGGTGTTACAAGCAAAGCAAACAAAATGAAAAAAAACCAGCTGATTAAATAAGATGTATGTAGTTGTATTAGTTGTTTAGAGCTTGGATCGGAGATTGTTATACAAAATTCATCTCAGATTAGTCAGAATTATTATTTATGTAGCTTTTTATATTCATTAACTGTTATTCCCGATCCGAACTTTATTTTTTTTTTTATTGTTGGTGTGAGAAGTGGTTGGCCATTGATTCAATACAATTAGTTACTGAGTAATTTCTTCTCGGTCAGCAACAAAAGCAACTATGGCACGAAACAATCCTTGACATGGGGCAAATCGAATTTGGTCAAAATAATCGAGTCGAAAAAAAACGAGGAAAACGAGGCAGGCAGATTAACATAATGTGCCAAATTCATTAATAAAATTCTTATTTAATAAGCCCCGGGCATAAAAGTTACCTAGCCCATAGGAAAAAAGTATCATATGTAGTTTTCATATGATATAGTAGACTTGTGAACGATAGATGGATTTGACTACTAACACTAATGCTAACATGATAAACAACATAAATACTAATTGACCCATTACTAACTTTAATATTAAATCTGATATATGTAAATACAGGGTATAAAAATCGCAAGTTAGATCATTACGTTCTCTAACTTGTCGTTATTGAATCTTTGATTGAATGAATCGCATATCTTCACGTGAATACGAGATACTAAGAACATTGAATCCAGGGAAATCCGTAGTATTAAATTTTATTTTGTTTGGTAAAAAAAAAAATCAAATAATCCATCGATTAACAAATTTAAGAGCTTTGGTTCATATATTAGGATGTCAAGGATTCTTTTTGTACACATATTTTGTTTAGGTCTACGAGATGAAAATTATAAAAATGATGGCAAACGATCTATCATCATATAACGATAATTCAAAATGATTAACTTGATCATTGAAATTAAAGGCTTTAAAATCAATGCTAAAAAACCTGTAGAATTCATCTAACCCATCAAAAATGCAAATAGGCTGAGTGGTTTATGAATATTCTTATTAGTGAATTACTCGGTCAATATGCTTAATGGTTTGATTAAATTCTCTATAGGTTCATAGCAAATATAAGTCTTTATATTGATATGATGATGCACCCTAGTTGGTTAGGATAATGCCACACAACATATGTGCATTTTTAGTCCCGGCTATAACTTTGGGTCGCAAAGATTGAACTCTATCGCTATATACACTAGGAAAACTGTCATCGCATTATACCTTTTACCTGATGGGCAATGCTAAATTGATGAAAGTATTGGATAATTAGTTTGACTTGCCTCTCCATCGAACGTTCTTCATTCCATTCTGACAATTAGGCCGAAACTCAAATATCAATAATGGCTGGGGATTAATAAGAAAAAAATAATGCTAAACTCCCTTATTACAGTCAACTCTACGAATTAAAAGATTCTGGAAGAGAAGTTCGTTATAGAAAATTACTATGTTTTCTTAAGAACTTTTATACTGAACTATTATGAAATTTAATATCCAGAGTTCGTTATAGGAAGGTTCGTTATATCCAGAGTCGACCAAAATTTATTAAAGACATATTCGTGTGTTATACGCTTCGATTCAGAATTTACTATCGCGATAATTCCATATTTATACCGTATTAAAAAAAAATTACTTTTTAATTAACGTTATAATTATTATTGTCTGATTTATCAAATTGTAAAAGAAATGAATTATTAATCCATTCAGTATTTTTTTTTTCTCTGTGTTATCGTTTATTGTTATGTTTTCGGAAAGTTATTAAGAATAAGTAATTAATAACTTGCACGTATGTATGTAGTTTTTCAAAAATTAGTTTTTTATAGTACAGTCAACCCTCGTTAATATCAACCCTCGTTAATATCAACCCTCGTTAATATCAACCCATTCTGATTAGACAATTACTTTATATATGAGAATTGATAACAACGGAATAATTTTTATATAGACTGAACCTATTTTTTTTAATAAGAGGTTGATATTAACGGGAGATCGATACGTATTAACGAAGTTGAGGGTTGACTGTAGTTGAAATTAATTTTCACATTTGTTAAAATTAAGTTACACTTGTTAATATCAACTTCATTACTTGTTAATAGAAACTAAAAATAAATATAGTAAAACATTAAATAAACTATAACTAAAATTGTATATATAATCAATTACTATGTATATATTTTTAAAAATAAGCTACGCTTAAAAGAAGCAATCTCTTTTTTTGGACAAAAAATTTAAAAACATCTTTGATCAAAAATAAACTATATATTTTATAATTGATAACAATCACTATACAATAAAGTCAAAATTTTATTAAGTTAATCTCTTAAGTTGGTTAAAAAATAAAATTATTATACATATTTTCTAAAAAGTTTATTCAAATTAGATAAATTTTTATTAATATGGTTTGATGTTTTAGGAAGCTGAAAAATATTAGGCAATTATAGCCCCTCAAAGAAATACTTATTTGACAATGCAATTTAATATAACATACTAATTTGACTTATTAAATTGCATTGTATAATGAGTTGTTATAGAATGAGCTTTAACATTAGTTTTATTAGTAGTTTTATTAATATTAATATTATTATTATTGTTATATTATTATCTTATATTTTTATTATATTATTTTATATTATTATTTTATTATTTTATATTG